AGCAGCCACCGACATCTTCGGAATCAGGCAGTCGAAGTGTGGCTCAAACGTCCACTGGCTGTCGATGACGAGACCCTGATATTTCATCTCCGATCCCACCTGGACAGTTTCGATATGTTTATGCATAGGCGGGGCGGTGGGGTCCCGTTTAAGCATAGGCCGGGCGGTGGGGTCCCCGCCGCTTCTTGTCGTAGAAACAGGTGGACTCTGACTTCGCAGGGAAGACCCTCAGGCCCAGTCCGCGCAGGGCATGGATTGCGCAGGCCGTTGCGATTTCGCCGATGCGCAGTGTCTCGTGCCAGCCACGACCCCCGACCAGGACCAGGATGTCGTCCGCGTAGCACACCATGGCCGCGCCTGGGGCTGCGGGCATCGCAGTACCTCGTCGTACTCAATGTTCCATAGTATCGGTCCCAGCACCGAGCCCTGCGGGACTCCGCGCTCAACAGGTCGCCTTTTCTCCCCTTCCTTGCTGCTGTAGCATATCCACCTGTCGTCGAAGTGGGCTCGGATCAGCCGGACAAGGTGGCTGGGAACCTCGAAGTGCTCCAAGGCCAGTATCCTGTCCCATGGCATGGAATTAAACGCGTTGACGATCCCTTAGAAACGAGACCCGAATGTTTTGATGTTTGACGTGGGTGGTGGCGAGATCACCGCCAGGAATTCCGTAAAATACCTGGGGGTGCTTTTGGACAATGTCGGGAGGTATTTCCTCCATCTGAAGCAGGTGTGCGACAAGGCGGAGAGATTCGTGGGAGCTATTAGGAGCTCGTTTCCTAAGGTCAATGAACCCACCGACACCGCGAGGAAATTGTATTACAGTGTCTGGGAATCGGTGGCCTTGTACGCTGCGCCGATATGGGCATCTACCCTCGGTATGGAGAAGAATAGGAAAATCTTGGTGAGTGCGCAACGGGCGGCGTTAGTTCGTACATTAACGGCGTACAGGACAGTGTCTCACGGGGCACTGTGTGTAGTAACGGGCAGAATGCTCATTCATATCAAGTCCAGACATCGGTGGAAGAAGTACGGGGCGAAGAAGGACTTTGGGGTAAATCGGCAGGGCAGGGCTTACGACTTGATGGAGGAGCTGAAGAGGACATTCCACAATCCCGGCAATTGATCAGGGATCCCTTGATCTTCGTAAGGAGGAAGAGGAGGATTAACCACTATGTGATACAGATCCTTACCGGCCATGGTATTTTCCAATATTTTAGAACGTCTAGCAATCTCATACTCTGAAACCGATAATTTTACCTGCCATATTTTCAAACAATACGTAAAGGATGAGAAGATCGAACGTGTTCCATTGCGGTAGAAACCGCACACACGATCAGACAAGTTGAGTGATACAACAGGGTAATATCTGTGAGATTGTCTTTATTGAGAATGTTGATAATGTGCAAAAGTGTATGAAGCGTGAGACAGCTGTATGAGTGAATGAGAAGCATAGGTGAGTAGGACGTGCGAACAGTCCTATGTTCGAATATGGTCGAGAGTTGTGACGAGTTGTAATGATTTGTGTATAAATAGTAAGCTGTAAAACTAAAGTATTAGCGTAGGAGAAGTGTTCATGTCAATTTACACTGTCATCCTCTCCCACAATGATGAAATTGCGTGAACCACTGGAGAAATGGAATCACGTAACAAAACAACTGGAGTTTGCCCTGAGTGACACTAGGGAAAACCGGAGCATATTTGTACATGTAGTGTTTTCAATTTGCCGCCTTAAAAATATCTCTTGCGGCTGTAATATTAGCAGAATCAATGGTATGATAATAAGAGGTAATAAATTTGGCAATAAACGAATGTCGATTGAGGGGTACGATTAGTTCATAACGTAAGAAAAAATCAAGCAGTTGGTGAGTTTGTTGGATAAGGTAAGCTTAATTGAAATTGTTAAAAGTTAGAATGTAGGCTAAGCAATTGATGATGCATATTTTCATGGCCTGGACTTCTGCTCAATGGGCATAAAATTATTGTTCTTTGTTTTATTGCAAATTATAACTTTCAATGCGCAGAATAAAAGATGCAAATCTTAGGCAGTCGCCTAACTTAAACTTAAACGGTTTTATTTGAGGGGGGGGGCGTACACCTGCCAAGATATCCACCATTCCACACTCTGTCAACTCGGAAAGGTGCCGATTTTCGCAAAGGGACGACCGAGTTGGTAGGAGAGTGATGCAACTTATCTTTATCAGCTATGTTAATCTACCCGTATAAGCAGATCCCTAATGAAATTTTACTTCGCGCTTCGTTGTCAAGATTGCACTTGTAATCTCCTCCTTGTCCGCTATATGTGACAACGTTTCGTGTGATCGTTGCGACACCGCATACTCTTGCAAAAGCATACGAATCATATTCGTTAAACCTAGATCTAGGGGTATTCTGCCTTAAATCCAATGACATATGGAAAAACGCCTCAGGCGCGTGCGCGATATGAAAAGCGATTTTCCTCTCCTAAGAAAAGAGAAGAACCACATGTAGAACCTGTTGAGTTTTCGGAAACAGTGATCGAGTGTAAGAAGTAAGGGAAATATAGCTCATATATGTACATAATCACAGAATTGTTATTCAAAAGCCAACCTTCGACAGTACGACTTCTAAATCGCGCGTGAAATGTACTCAGACTAAAAATAAATAGATAACTAATTCTATTTCCGCAAGAAGTCAAAGAAACTATTATGCCAACGCTCACCGTCACCTTGCACCAACACCCAGCCGAACACTCATTTCTGCTAGAGTCGTTACATGCTACATACGTAGATACTGTAAATAAGTCAATATCATGTGGCGCAGCAATATTTTTTGTAATTACGTGATTTGTGTAGAAATTAGAAGCTATGTCTGCGCACAATTACTGAGAATGAGATTTATAAGAACCGTAGATTGCGAGTTAAGCATAAAAATGTAATGCAACATACTACTTCGATTTCGCAGATTTCAGATTTGGGCAATCTGAAAAGCAAAGGAGAATTGATTCGTTGAAATTTGCGGTTTTTGAATTTACTCAAATAGAAGGCGCTTGAAGGAACCTGAAAGGGAAACCGAAGGTATCGTTGAAGAAACTGCAACAGCAATACAGAAACATTCAGCATAATTCGTGCAATAAAATTGTAACACGTGTGTCCGTGTCGTTTCCTATTAGTAGCCGATCTTCCGGAGCCGAACCATACAGCGTAACAGCTGTTGTTTTTAACTTAATCTATAATCTTGCAAGTATTTCCAGTTTATGAATGTGTAATGGCACATGAGTCATTGTTTGATGCGGATCGAGGGCGACTCGTGTTGTTATTGTGCCTCGGAACAGGGACACCGTCTTGACATACGAAACATATCGATAAACAAACTTCAGACAAAACAAAGTCATCGTTATGGGCAACCGTCGATCTAAGACGAATTCAAATTTTCCGACTCCCCCTCCCCCCGGCCAGCATAAATAAACGGACGCGATAGCGAGCGAGATAGTTATTATCCGAGTCATTATCCGAGTTATAGTTCGAGTTAACACACGAGTTATTTGTCTGAGTTATTGGAGTTATTAATGGAGTCATTCAATCATGTCATAAACTAATAGATCTGAATTGACATCATTGCTGCTATTTACTACACTCATGCCTGTACTGAGTGTAACTCGAATGTACACTTTCGAGTGGTGAGGTAGTAATTATGCATTGGCCCTGGTCGTATACTTACAAGTGTAAACGCGATCGGCGACACGATAAATCTAAAGAATGAACGACGAACCAATATGCTCCGAGAGTAAATTGCATTCTCTTCGTCAGTTTTTCCTTTTCTTTGGTACTGTAAATGAAAGTGTACTTCTATCCATATTAGCCGAATCTCTCTCTCTCTCTCTCTCTCTCTCTCTTTCTCTCTCGCTATCCCCTTTGCACACTTTTCAGGTAATCTAGAGTGAACGTAACCTGTATGCGACCGACGAAGTTAGGATCCAAAGTAAAAAAGATAAAGATAAAACCTGGGCGTTTCTCGCTCGGTAGCTATGTAGTATGTATGTACATATGATTGGCAATTACAGAGCATACACATATTCATTGTAATTATTTGTAAAATCAAATTATATTAAATATGACGACTATTTACAAAGATTAAAAATCTATATAAGCATATGCATGAATACTGAAGTAAATAGCGAAATGATTTTGTTCAGCCTACGTCTAAACCTTATGTTGCTATGAGAATATCAATTAGGATGAAAATTATTACTGTTTTCGCACTTTCGCGGGGAGACACGATCTCGAAGAAGCGCGCCAACGGAAGTCGTAAATTCCCGTTACGATTTGCTAATCGACGCCGCGAATCGTTCGATCCCTTATTTCTTTTGGGATAATAAGGGTAGTTAAATTAAAGATAACGCTGCTGCTAACAGGTTATTATATATTTTCACAAACCAACAACTTCGGTGTAACACAAAATGAATATTTGCTATGAGATGACTACTGTGTTCGACTTGTTGACTGCTTAAAGAGATGTTTGATTGAGACTGAGCTTTTCGTCCTTGTGTTTTACCGGAGGAAAGCTTGATGTGGGTGTGCCCTTAGAATGAAGAACGCGGATTCTTTCACACTTGGTTGTTCACACTTTTCGTTAAGGAGATGAGGGTAAACATCCGCGATGCCGATTGGTTATGACCCCTGCTAACGAAGAAGAATATGGGGAAGTCTCCCACCAGCGTGGAACAGGGTGACTTCATTCTTGGGAAAAACCAGTCGTTTTCGGTGGCCATGTGTTCGGTTTTCCGTTCGGCGACTACCCGCTTTCTCCGTGAATTTTAAAAGCCTAATAAACTCAAGGACTTCTCCGAAACTCTAACATAACCGAAAATACTTCTAGGCAATAGTTTGACTGGCAAACGTGTGGAAACAATGCAGCTAAAAAGTGCCGTTTTTTGGTGGGTCCTTGAGTTTATTGAGGGTCTGGATGGCTGTCGATGGGCCGCTGGCTGCTAGGTAGCGTCGGCTGGAATGCAGATGTTCCATGCGACGCAACAATTACAGTACTATTGATGACTATATTTAATGTTTATATGTAACTAATTTGAATTTTATAAAAGAAAATATGAACTGGGATTGGAAAAGAGTAATTATGATTCTTTACTTTTTCTCAAAATTATAATAAAACTCCCTCAAAAATTTTTGATAACAATTCGTCTATAAATACCATTGTCATGACTTCAGAAGAGAAAAGAAGTATTCTCCAAAACGCAATCTAGGAAGTTGTGTCATGCGCGTGCTTCTAAGTTCCCGGCGAAAGCTCTGTCGCTTTTACATCAAGTAGAATAATATTGACTATTTTCAATTATGATCAAAATTAGTAGAATGTAATATAAATGTAGAATATGTAGTAGAAATATAATATAAATTAGTAGAATATAGATGATGACTTTATTACACTTTATCTTCTATTCTACGATAGGGTGAAACAACTTTATTATTTGAGATACATATTCAGCATAGTTTCAATAAAAGTTGAAACATGAAGGTATGAAGATCTAAACCTATCCATTCGCAATGATGTATCACATTTCATGTGCAATTTTGCGGTAGAAAGGTTTTAAGATGAAAACTAGCTTTGAAATATTTCTTATGTTTCAAAGACTTGTTTTGATCAGAGCGTCGACAGAGGACATACCTACTAATATTCCAGTCACAGCTATTGATATAAAACATTATTTAGGAATTAAAAGAGAAAAAGTATAAAGTAGAGTCATTAAAGTTCAAATAAAATAGAACCATTATTCCATTAGATGTAAAATGTAATACACTTAAATATAATTGGTAACATAATATTTAGGTTAAGATTTTCAGGTTTAACCCCTTTCAATGAAGTTACCGACTAGTTTATAACTTTAACAATTTTTTATGGTCCGACGTTACGTTAGTATACTGTGCATGACGTATTTTCGATTGTGCGTGATTATGCTGGTTGGGAAGTTTTACATATTACATATTATGATGATATTGTTATTTTTTTGTATTTAACTAACGTCTAAAGAATGTTACGTAACATAAAAATTGTTTTCATTATCAAAAACCCTCGTAAACCTGGAAATTGTACTGTGATTTCTTCTTCTTCAATAAAAAATAGTTAGTAACTGTTCCG